CAACCCAAACCATTCTATGATTCCATGATAATGCACCGAGGAGATCTGCCACCAAGGCAGGCTGCAGAACGCTTGCTCTGTGCTTCATGTGCAGGTTACCAGGAGCAGAATGAGTGCACAGGCTCAGCGCAGCAGCTGGGTGTTGCCAGGGCCCTGTGCAGTGCCAGAAGTGGCTGTGCTGAGGTTGGCTTCATTCCTGGTGTCACTTCTGCACCTTTGTTTAACCAGGTGCTTTTTCCTTCTCTTTATTCAGCTTCCTCAGCAGTCCCTGAGCAATGCGTGAGCCCAGCTCTGCAGAAGGGGATTTTTGCCAGAATAGTACTTGCCCTGAAACTCTTTAAAAACAACTTTGCTGATACTGCCGCTTTCTTTGCAAATGTCTCCTCTCCCTTTTACCTGTACCTGTGGCAATGTCTGTCCTTGCTGCTATCAAAATGCAGAACTCGATCCAGTCAGGCCTTCACCTGGAATTGGTACTTAGAGAGAACCACTGTCTAGAGCTTGGGCTGTTGTGGAGAGGAAGGGACCTCACTTATCACTGCCCATGCCACCATGTTCTTATGATCTGTTTTGCAGTGATTAGCACAGGTCTGATAAACGTCCCTGGAATGGAGGTAGTCCCTGGAATTAGGGCAATGGAGCTGAGAAGGGTCTGGAGCACAAGTGTGCTGAGTTCTCGGCTGAGGGAACTGGGGTTGTTGATCCTGAAGAAAAGGAGGCTGAGGGGAGACCTTGTGGCTCTGTCCAAGTCCCTGCAAGGAGGGTGTAGAGAGGTGGGGGTGGGTCTGTTCAACCATGGACCAAGTGACACGACAAGAGGAAATGGCTTCAAGTTGCACCAGGGGAGGTTCAGATTGGATGTGAGAAAAAACTTCTTCACCAAAAGGGTGGTCAAGCACTGGGCTTCCCAGGGAGGTGGTGGAGTCACCTGCTCTGGTGGGATTTAACAGCCGGGCAGATGAGGTGCTCAGGGACGTGGTTTAGAGGTGGAATTGTCAGTGTTGGGTTTATGGTTGGACTCGGTGATCTTGAAGGTCTTTTCCAACCACTACGATTCTGTGATCCTGTTATTGTGTTTATTGGGAAAGCAACTGCTATGGTCGTCATACACAGACATGAATTCTACCTACTCCGTACTGACCCCAGAAGGGGTAGCTCATGCATGAGACAAGTATTCACACACAAAAAGACTCCCACTCATACGCATGTGTGCGCACACTGTGTAAACATTGCATGTAGTGACATTTTTGATTCAATATCTGTTGCCATTTCTATGCCCACTTTCTTAATGTCTCTTCTGGCTTCTTCAAAATGTTCTTTTTTGGACTTAAATTTTAGTACTGGTGGTGTCTGGCTACTAGAGAGCTTTTGGAGGCAGGTGGCTGTCTTCCAGGAGAATTTAAAGAGAGGGGTAAAAACCACTTTTGTACAGAACACATTGATTTCTCTGTGGCCTAAACTCCCCCCTCTCTGTTTAGTGCACAGGATGTCAAACGTCAGAGTCAATTGTTTGTCCTTCACAAAATGGAGGAGTTATGGTGATTCAATGTGGAGTTTCCATTTATCATAGAATAGTTTGGTTGGAAAAGACCATTATGATCATCTAGTCCAACCATAAACCCAGCATTGCCAAGTTCACCACTAAACCATGTCCCCAAGTACCACATCTGCACGTCCTTTAAATCCCTCCAGGGATGGTGACTCCACCACTGCCCTGGGCAGCCTGTTCCAGTACTTGACAACCCTTTCGGTGAAGAATTTTTTCCTAATATCCAACCTAAACCTCCCCTGGCTCAACTTGAGGCCATTTCCTCTTGTCCTGTCACTTGGTCCTTGGTTGCCCAGACCCACCCCCACCTCTCTCCACCCTCCTTTCAGGGACTTGGACAGAGCCACAAGGTCTCCCCTCAGCCTCCTTCTCTCCAGGCTCAACAACCCCAGTTCCCTCAGCTGGGAACTCAGCACACTTGTGCTCCAGACCCTTCCCCAGCTCCGTTGCCCTTCTCTGGACACGCTCCAGCACCTCCATGTCCTTCTTGGAGTGAGTGGCCCAAAACTGAACCCACACTGGCCTGTGATCAGCTCTACTGCTTGAAATTCAAGGACTGCCACCGTCCCAGGACACAAATCCAGCATCAACTGCTTGTGTGCCCCTTGCCTCTCTCTGGGCCAGGTGATCAGTGGGTCTATGGGCTGGGGAAGGATCTCAGCCCACACAAGTTCTGGTGGGTGCAGAGCTGTGCTAAGAGGTGCTCACTTCCCAAGTGCCTCCTGGCCACCAGCAACTGGTTACCATGTCAGTAATGGGAGGTGGAGATGGGGCTGAATCAAATGAATCATGCACACCAAGCCTGCAAGTTTGTTTTTACTGCTCCAACTTCTATTTCATGGGAGTTGGATTGGGTTGATTGCTCAGGATGTAGGTTCCAAATCAGTGCTAAGACCAGAACTTCAGAGGTGTTCATGTGTCCACTCCCACCAAGTGGCTGCTGGAGTCAGTTGGAGCCAGGACTCAATACGTTTGCAGGAGGGATCTGCCTGTCCCCTGGAACTGCTGCAGATCTACCATGAACAAACAAACATCAGCT